TAATATAAAAATGTTGCGAGATGCAAAGATTCGAGGTGGATTTGAACTACCAAACTGGGAATTGTACTATCAAGCAACAGGACTAGCTTGGATGAAAGAATGGATTTTATTGAGAAATACAAGATTATTGACACTGGAGGGTCATGATTTGCAATTGTGAAAACCATCCTATATCAATCCCTTGTTTTTCTAATTCTTATTTTTGTTTTAGTCCCCTCCCTTTCTGTTAGTATATCTCTGTATCTAGTAATATTTTCATACTACTAAAATTTGGATGTGTCAATGTATCCATTGTTGAAAGCCACATTGGTATTTCTAAATAATGTTTCCCTTTCACTCTTTCCAATATTGTTAATAATCCATTCTTTACATAATGTCTTTGAAAATAGTGCTCTACTTTTATCATACCACAAAAAAGCATGCCAACACAATTGCAAATCATGACCCTCCAGTGTCAATAATCTTGTATTTCTCAATAAAATCCATTCTTTCATCCAAGCTAGTCCTGTTGCTTGATAGTACAATTCCCAGTTTGGTAGTTCAAATCCACCTCGAATCTTTGCATCTCGCAACATTTTTATATTAATTCTTGCTTTTTTCCCCTGCCATATATATTTCCCCACTATTTTATTCATACTTTCAAAAAAAAATTCTCTAGATTTATCGTATTGTTTGAAATAAATATAGCAATCTTGGTAATATATTCATCTTTACTACTGCTATTATTCCCATCAATGATAATTGTAGGTTTTTCCATCTTTCCAAATCTATTTCTATTTGTTTTCTCACCTTATAATAGTTATCCTTCTTTAATGTTACACACCTTGATATCAATTGAATACCCAAATATTTCCTTTTTTTCATCACCTGTATGTCCAGTTTCCCAATCAGCTCTCTTTTCTGTTTTTCTGTCATAGTTTTCACCAGAATTTTTGTTTTATCTTTATTAATCTTCAAACCCGCTACTTCTCCATATTCTTCTATTATTTTTTAACTAATTTTGGCCCTGTTTCTATTGGATTCTCCATAATAAACACTAAGTCATCCGCAAATGCTTGTAATTTATACTCTTCTTTCTTGACCCTCATACCTTTTACCTCTTTATTTTGTCATATTTCTCTATTCAAATTCTATAGTGTCAGTACAAATAATAATGACGATAGTGGACTCGCTAGTTCCCTTCATAATCGCTATCTTTGCTGTCATATCATTAATTAATTAATTAATTAATTGCATTAGAGTCTCCTAATATACATAATCATATTCTGTTATCTTTTTGTGTAGTTTCCCAAAGAATTCTTCTTGTTTGTCATTTGAGGCGTATATTGCCACTAATAGTATCTTTCTCATGTTCATCATTATTTCCACCATCAGTATTCTCCCCTCCCCATCTTCAAAAATTTTATTTGATTGTATTGTCTTTCTAATATATAATGAGCAACTATTTGAAGTTATGATCTACTTGAGATGGGGACATGGCCTGGATCCAAAATCCCCCTCCACAGTCCCATGACAACATTTCAGGTGCTTGGCAACATAGCTGCATTTATGACTATTTGAATGTCCCACATTTTACAATGGTTGAAAATTGGAACTTTACAACTCAGCAAAACTGCACACATAGCAAATGATAGGTTTGCTTTATTACTGCTAAATTTTCTGAATGACAACTGCCAAAACTTGTAAAATTGGGCTAGTGAGGGGAAGACTCCATTATAATCTTAACTACCACAATGATGAATTGACTGCCTTTGAATGAAAAGTTGGTCTTGGAATTTGTGATCTAAACTTTTTTTCTGGTGTGGAACAATTTTCTGTTTCTACTTAAAATGCAATCGCTTATATGATAAGTATTTTCCCCTTTAATTTGTTTAGGTTTCTCAACTGCGTCATGAGCTGTCCATGAAAGATGAGCTTCTTCAGTTTTATACCAGTGCTGCTGAAGAAAGCGAGCCAGATTCCCTCTATTCAACTCCGTAAGTCTACAATGGAAAACCGAAATGTTACTTAGGCTGTGTAAAACTGTTTCAAGTGTGAAATTTCTTAGAAAGCTCAAAATACTTTAAAAATATTTGAAACAACTTTATATTTAGTATTGGATGCTTCAGAAGATTCTTTGCCCAAAACAGTGTGAAATATTTGTTCTTATATATATTTGTACTGTTTCCTTAATTACTTTATATATGCCTTACAATATGAAGATTATTTTTAAAGATTTTATGACAGTTTTTTTAATAATTTCATGTAGTGAACAGAAATTGATTTTTTTTCTATTTTATAACTTAAATTTCCACGTTAAAAGTGTGTGGAAAAAAGATTCCAGGGGAGGGGCTTGCCGCCGACGGTAGCTTAACGAAGCTGCTCTCAGAGTTTTGGTT